GTCTTTTTATTTCTGTTCAACCATGCGGAAGCATAATATTAACAAATTAGAGGCGTGCAAAGCCAACAATATTATTTCTTCACTAGTTGAACACGCAAAACAGAAACGCTTGGCCGCTCGTGATGTGCAAATTCTATAATTTTGTCCGAAATGTGGCGAAGCACATGGAAACGACACCAAAGTGAACAAAGCCATTATTGCAGAACATGAGGAAGCACACCTATAGAAGGGGCAATATTTTATGGGCTTTCTCCAATAAATTTTTTCGTGCATTTAAGTTATGCAAGTTGTTTTTTCAGTTCATTAGTGGTTGTGCCTACAACGCCAAACCTCACTTATAATTGATAGAGCAATATTAATCTGTTGAGATTTGAAACAAGGGCACGCCAGAAAACTTCTATATATTCTCATTAATTGTCAGATGAAACAAAAATGACCGAAATTTATTTTTTTTTTCAAAAAGTATTTTAATTTGATGTGATGCTTGTAGATATTTTCAATTCTACCTTAGTTTTGAGGCTACTTAATTTGCAAGCTGTACAAGGACAATTACATACTAATTTTTAATTTTTTTTTCAATCAAGTATATGAATTTTAATTTTTTTCATTTAAGTACATCAATTTTTTTTTCAAAATTATTAATAAAGTATTTTTATTAATTTTTTTGTGAACGGATGATGTGTTTCGTACCTTTAAAATACCAAATTATAATTTTATCATTTTTTTCAATCGAGTACATAAACTTTAATTTTTTCATTTGAGTACATTAACTTTTTTTAAACTATCAATTAAGTATTTCTATTACTTTCTTCATTCACCGATAACGTATTCAAATTAGAAATTATAATTTTATTTTATTTTTTTATTTAAGGAAACTTTCTCATCAAACTATTTTACTACTTTCTAATTTGACAAATAATTATAAAACTTATTTTTTATATCTAAAATTTCAAACTAAACTCAATTAAGTTGTTATTAAAAAACCAAAAAACGAGAAAAACCCGAGTTAGGTTTAAGAGTGAAAATTAAATAAAAACATAAATGAATTTTCTTTACAAAAAATCTTACGTTTGTGTTTCTTTCAATGTTCATGCCCAAAATCTAAAATTTTTTTTTTTAAACCAGACAAGCCTTACTAAATTTAATTTGAGATTTTATAACTAAAAATAATATTTTTTAATTCTTTGTCAAATTTTAAAATGATAGAATAATTCAAGGAGAAAATTCCTTACAATAAAAGATGAAACAAAATGTAATTTCGTATTCATATACATCATCAATTAATGAAAAAATTGACAAATGTATTTGATTGATAGTTTTAAAAAAGTTGGTGTACTCAATCTACAAAAATTAAAATTCATGTACTCCATTGAGAAAAAAGGACAAAATTATAATTTGGTATTTTGAGAATAACGAACATGTTATCGATTAACGAAAACATTAACTGAAGTACTTGATTAACGAGTTTTGAAAAATTGATGGATTTAAACGAAAAAAAAATTTATGGGCTTTCTCCAATAAATTTTTTGTGCATTTAAGTTATACAAGTTGTTTTTTTTAGTTCATTAGTTGTTGTGCTTATAAAGCCAAACCTCACCCATAATTGATAGAGCAATACTAATCCATTGAGATTTGAATGAAGGGTAGGCAAAAAAACTTCTATATATTCTCATTAATTGTCAAATGGAACAAAAATGATCGAAATTGATTTTTTTTTTGTCAAAAAGGATTTTAATTTGATGTGATGCTTGTAGATATTTTTAGTTCTACCTTAGTTTTGAGGCTATTTAATTTGCAAGTTGTATAAGTTTGGTTTTGTGAAAGGTTTTACACTTCTATTACCCGAATAATTATACTATAAATATACCAATTTTTAACTTTTTTATTAGTTAAGTATATAAATTTTAATTTTTTTTGTTTGAGTATATCAATTTTTTTCAAAATTGTTAGGAACTTCTATCATTTTTTTCATTAATCGATGATGTGTCATGTACTCTCGAATACAAAATTATAAGTTTATCTTTTTTTCAATCAAGTACATGAACTTTAATTATTTTTGTTTGAGCACATTAGTTTTTTCAAAATAGTCAATTAAGTATTTTTATCATTTTTTTTTTGTTAACCGATGACGTATTCAAGTACGAAGTTATAACTTTACTTTCTTTTTCTTTTTCTTTTTTGTTGAAAGAAACTTTCTCCTCAAACTATTTTACTATTTGAAAAATAATTAAAAAAATTATTTTTATTTTTAAAATTCCAAACTAAACTCAATTAGATTGTTGTTAAAAAAAAAAAAACTCGGTTAGGTTTAAAATTGAAAATTAAAAAAAAAAACAAATAAATCTTCTCGACGAAAAATCCCACTTTTGTGTTTCCTTCAATTTTTATGCCCAAAACCTAATTGATTTTTTTTTTAACGACAAGCCTTACTACGTTTAATTTGAGATTTTATAATTAAAAATAATAATTTTTTAATTCTTTGTCAAATTTTAAAATGATAGAATAATTCAAGGAGAAGGTTCCTCGGAACAAAAGATGAAAAAAATGTAGTTTCATATTCGGACACGTCATCAATTAATGAAAAAATCGATAAAAATACTTTATTGATAGTTTTAAAAAAGTTGGTATGCTCCATCTAAAAAAATTAAAACTCACGTATTCCATTGAGAAGAAAATAACAAAATTATAATTTGGTATTTTGAGGATAACATGCATGTCATCGACTAACAAAAAAGTTGACTGAAGTATTTAATTGATGATTTTAAAACAATTGATGTACTCAAACAAAAATATTAAAATTTATATACTTGATTGAGAAAGATTGGAAATTATTATACTTATGTTGTAATTATCCATTTTATTACCTAAGAAATACTTATGTCATTCATGCAATCTTTACTAACCTAACAACCAAACCTAGTGATGTTACTAGATTCCGTTGTCTTGAACATAGATGAACCTTAATTCATGTAAAGTTAGATATCACATAGCACAATCAAAGAGTGAAAAGGCACAAAGTTGCAACTGGCGTGACCAAAGAACATAGTGCAAGGAATCAATTTTTTTTTTTTTTCATTTTTTGCTATAAATGGATTATATATCTTTCTATACATTTAAGAAATAATATTGTATATTTTGCATTCACACATATTTTTTTTAAAAAAAATTATCATACAAAAATTTTATTTAATAAATAAAACTAATTGAAAATAAATATACCATCTTTTTAAAAATGCTAATCTTAAAACTCGAACATGAGAATTCAAGCTAGATGCGTCTTTCCTTTATTATTCGGACCAACTCCCACATGGCTCAAGGAACCAAAGTGAATGTATTTGTTGTGTGTACGCGCATATAGTTTCAAAGACAATCTAAAAAAAGCTAGAACCAGTTAAAGGTCATAATGGGTTGAAAAGATGGGGGCTGTAATGGGTTGAAATTCAAGCAGATGACTTAAATTATACATTGAGCCACCCGAGGCTTGCATTTAGTTGCATATCACGAGCTCACCCGAACAAGATCGGCCTACTTCCACACCATTTGTTACACCAACCAAATTCTTTTCGGTCTGGGTCCATTTTTGATATGAGAACTTCCTACAATTTAAATCCCATTATTCTGACGTTATTTTGCCGTCCTAATTCAGTCTTGAAGTCTTAAAATTTTGCCTTTTCTTAAACGTTGATATAGATAAATAACAATTCAGTTCCTTGAAAATATCTGCAATGCCAATCATATTACCGCAACATCCAGCATATAACTTTTATTTGATCGTAATCTCTAAAAAATTTGGAGAATAGTAATAAATAATCAAAATTTTCAAAAATTAAAATATTGATACATAAACAGGCATAATCTAATGGTTGTTTATTTGATAGTTTTTTTTTTTGGGGGGGGGGGGGGGGGGGGTTTGAATCCTAATGACTTCAATTTATTTACTGATTAGGTAATGAAAATATAATATTTCTATTGCATCGTATCGAGCCTCTAGATTTCTCGATAAATAAATATAAATATCGATACAAAATTCAAAATCAATTTTCACTTTGAAAAACGCGTATAAAAGGAAACCAATTTTGACCATATAAACTAACAGAGAATTATGGACCAGGCATGTCTCAAATCTTTATTTTACAGCCAATTTATCCTTTTAATACGAAGAAATTACACTTGCCTCCATTTTTCTTCACAACCATCGTTAATAAAGCACGGGAAGAAAAATTTTGAGCCCATTATAGTAGAGGCCAATAGGCAAGGGAGGAACCAAGAAAGAAAACTCACCCTGATTTTAGTGTTGGGTGTATGTATCAATTAAAGTGGTTATTTTCACCTTTTGAGTTCAAGTGAGTTTTAAGTGAAAAAGGATGATCAAGTAGGCTCATGCATATAACAATTTGTAGTTTTTTGTAATTTGAACCATAACCTTTAATGGGCCTTTGGTCCTGTGGTTGTGGACTCTTTGTAGCTTATAAAAGGCCTATTCTTAGTATTTACTTGAAATTTAACTTTATTATACCCCTATAAGAAGTGAGCAAATTAAACACACAAACCCACCCCCCTCCCCCTCCTTCTCTTTTGGTTGTGATGGTAAAATTAATTCTCGTTCGTGACGGTTAATTAGCTAAACCATCCTTAGCTTATAAAATTAACGACTAATGATTGATGCATATGCTTGCACAAGGAGAAAAAGAGAAACTTTTTACCCTACTCTCTAGAACTCTCGCTTTTTTAGTGGTGATTTTTCAATATATCTACAATTCCAACAAATGAAGGAAAAGAACAACCATCCGTCCATCCAAATCAATACAAACAAAAAACCAAATTCAGGGGTTATACGAGCCAAGGACAATACTGCTCAAATCTTGACAAGTTACCAAAAAGCAAAAACTTGCCATCCTTACCACAGTACTGATAACCACTTTCCAAAGAAAGCCACAGAATTAAGAAAGAACATGGAGGAGTAAAGCCATAGAGTACAAAATTCACTAAAAATGAACAAATCAACACGAGCAAGCAGATAATTTCTTCATCTCACTTATCTCCAAATCAGTCCCTGATATAGCATCAATCTTAGAACCTCGAAGCTTTATGGCATCAGCAGCATTGGAATTTCCATTGCCACATTCCAATGCCTTCTTACAAACCACACCATTAATCTCTTCTAGCAGCCTGAAAAATGCACTGTCCACATTGTCCCCACTAAGGGCTGATGTCTCAGAAAAAAATAGGCCTTGATCATCTGCAAATTCTACCGCGTCTTCCTTTGGAACTGCCCTGAGGTCCACAAGATCAGCCTTGTTTCCAATCAGCATGATCACAATGGAGTTATCAGCATGGGCTCGGAGCTCCTCCACCCACCTAGCCACATGATCAAATGTGGGTCTCTTGGTAATGTCGTAGACTAACATGGCCCCTAATGCTCCTCTATAGTATGCACTTGTCACCGCACGGTACCTGCAGAATTTTGCTTTTCAATAAATTGAATTGAAACCAGATTTTACTGCAATGTCGGAAGATAGAGTTAATACTTCCATCAGTACGTCAATGGTATTCACGAGCCAATAAGCAAATGGGTCCAAATATTTCATTCAAGGCACACATTTCCACAATTATTATAGTAATTCTAATAAGATCATTTCTGGGCCAGTATTTAAAAAGAAAAGATCATCTTGTTTGTCAGAATTAAAAAACTATGAGCATCAATTCGAACGTTCACCTCCTGGTAAGCTGGCGAGTAGCTATATATTATAGTCTTAAAACGATTACATTTATATATATTAGTCGGGCCAAAAAGGTCAAGCAAAAAGATATATGTTTGATTTGCATACGAGATAAAAGAAAGAGAGAGAGAGAGAGATGGTCCCAACCTTTCTTGTCCAGCAGTGTCCCAGATCTGAGCCTTGATGACCTTGTCCTTAATGGTGACAGTCCTAGTCTGGAACTCAACGCCAATGGTAGACTTTGAATCAAAGCAAAATTCATTCTTGGTGAACCTGGAAAGAATCTGAGTCTTGCCAACTGCAGAGTCACCGATCACCACCACCTTAAACACATAATCTATTTTCTCTTGTACATTCTCTTGATGGTTCCGATCACTCTCAGTATCAACACCATTCATCTCTTGGTTCATTTTTTTATCACAAAGAAGGCACTTTATTTTGATTTTGTGTCTCAGCTCCTATGTGAAATATAACACGACACTTTCGAAATTTTGTTAATGGTCTTCGGACACTAGTCCTGGTGGACAGGGGTAAGTGGGAGTAAGTAGAGGAAGAGAAAAGAGAATGGAAAAGAGGACCAGCCAAGATCGGTATTTTCAATGGTTCGAAATCCCTCACAAAAGTAGTGAAAAGGAGGAGGAGTTGTAGAAATATGGTCTAGTCCTTGTCTCTCTTTTTAATGCTTTATGGTAGTAGTTGTATACGTACCATGCATTATTAATTCACTTAGCATGATAGATAAATTAATTAGCCAGTGTTTGAATTGTTAATCACTGCGTCTGAACCAAACCCATCTGTACTTAATGGGATTGGGAGTTGGGATTTGTGACTGTAATCATTTGTCCAGGCAGCTAGTTTCCGGGAACTGCTATTCGCACTCCATCTCTTTCTAACCGCGCTCCAATGATTTTTTTATATTCTTCACGTTGACGATAAGGCTCTCGTTCTTAGTTGCAAGACTTTTGCTTCCTAAAAGGCAAAAAGCTCCTTTTGCTGGTTTTGCTTTCCCTCGTTGAATATTTGATCCGTCATTTAAAATATTTCAAATCTTCTCTAATCAAATGGTATTTCATCATGGAATATTTAATCCTCCATCTAAAATATTTTGTAGGCTTTATTTTGAAACTTCAAAAATAAGTATCGATTCTTATTTTCTCATCATGAAACAAAATTAAAACTCCACAAAATTGTTGAACCAAATACTATTATAATCATCCGAACAATCAAACCCACTGCTTAACCTACCAATTCACCATCCAAAAAAAGAAACAGGACTTAATGTTACCAGTTCATTTGAAGAAAAATCTATCAACCCAAAAACCACATTCAATAGAAAATCACAAATCCACGACATCATTTCAGCCTTAGAGATTGCCATCTTAACCCACCACCCATCACTTTTCAACCTCAAGAATCGACTCATGTAAACTCTTTCGTAGCCTCTCTTACCTACTGACCCAAAACCTACATCAATTTTATGGGAGTTCTCAAATACTCATAACCATAGAGAATTAAGACTGTCATAAATAAACAAGATCAAGGTAGTGCCATGTGTAGATAGATATGGACTATTGCTATGGATCGCCATTTTTAGACAGAAAGATAGAGTGAAGAATTGCAAGATTTCAAGTTTTTAAATTTGCGTTTTCGTAAGCTTTCTCAACGTTTTCGGTATGCTGGCACTTAGTGAGAGCATACCTCATTACGAGGGTAACATTGTCAACTGAAGAATAAAAAAATTTGTTGGAGTGCGGTTAGAAAGAGAAAGAGGGCGAATAGCAGCTCCCCTAGTTTCCTGGCACAATCTTGGGATTGAGCTGTGTCTTTTGTTTAATTCAATTTAAAGTTCAGTGAAAAAGTGAGAATAATGGAGTATACATACTGCTCCTACATGCTTTCTTTTTAATGGGGTACTTATCTAACCACACTAGCTAGTTAATTACAACCTGGATTTTGCATATATATATATATATATATATATATATATATATGCAGTGAGAGATGGTCTGGAAACCACCGTTTGATTTCTGAAATTCAATACGACAAAGCTTGCACAACTTAATCCAATTCAATGATATTTTCCTTTTATTAATTGCATGAGCGCTGAAGATACTGGATCAGGAAATTGATACACAATAAGAGGAGACGACTGAACGTTTAAACGACATAGGCGTAATTAATATTTACTTCTTTTTTCTCTCTTAAAATCACGCGGATGACATATAATCTGTCAAACAGATGCATCCATTTTACCTCCAAGCTAGAAACTTTTTGGTTGGGAGAAAGAGGGACCACGCATAAATACTTGGATAAAAATTTCAATTTTGTTGAAAATCTAAAACTATTTGAGAAATTTGTTAATAATAAAAGAATAAAATTGCTGATTTGGGATATTTGAATGACAGTTAGTTAAAAAAAAAAGATTTGAATGACCGTTGATGATTACCATGAATGACATGCTATAAAAAGGTTTAGCAAGACGAGTTGGTGGTTTACAAGATAAGATAGAAAGATTTAAAGTTGAATAAACGATACCAAAGTAAATTTATTACAAATTAAAATTATATAAAGATAAATAATTAATAATCACAAATATTATTTTTTATATATACATGGATTTTTTTATATTATTGCTATAAATAAGTAACGAATCATTTTTAAAAGGATCAATCAAATAATAATTAATAAAATTATATTTTTAATTATCTTAATTTCTAAAACAAATTATCTAAATTTCTAACCATTTAAACTAGTCTACATTCTTCAATTAATTTCTAGTATAGAATTTTGTAGAGGGGGATATTGAGAAATGATCAAATAACTGATTGGCAGTGCCGGTCAAACTATAGAGATCCAAGTATGTTAACTTGTATAAGCAATAATCAACCAATCAAATAGAAATGTAACGTCCAAAATTTTTTTTTTTTGGTATTTTTATTTCATATTATACATGTGCATGATTGTGCGTATGTGTGTTTGAATATACTTTTATTTAAATATATGATTTTTTTTAAAATTATTGTGTTTTAGATTAAATATGCTTTATGATTAAGAAAATAAAATGAGGAATTTGGAGTTAGTTAAGCTTGATTAAATTTATTAAGTGAGATAGATTATAGTAATGAAAATTATGAAGGTTAAATGGAAGTGTAGAAGTGAGTTTTAAGGTTAAAACAAAAGAAGGGACTTTTGTTTTAAAAGGGATGGAAAAAACAAGATTAGCCATTTTTCTTCATTTTCTTTTTCTCTTCTCCTTCCTCTCTCAAACCATGACCCTCCCACTTCGTCTCCACCATTTCTCACCCATTTTTAACCTATCCCACCACCAAAAAAAAAATTAGATTCCGTTAGTTTTTGATGGTATAAGTTGAAATTAATCAAGATTGGAGCTTGAAGAGTTAATGTTCTCAAGCTTGAAATTCGTTCCACGAGAGAAATGTATGATTTCTATTATGATATTTTATTATTTGATGAATTCTTAGGTGGTTATTGATGATTATTAGGTTGGATTATGACAAATTTGTCATTTAATCTAAAATTGGAGAGGTTGGAATTTTGAAACCCCTTTGAGAAAAGTGTGATTAAGTGATTTTATTTGAGTTGGATTTAACTATAGACTAGGTTATTAAGTTATACTTTGATTTAAGGTATGTATTGTGCATAACATCCTTCCACCTGTGATGTCATCATGTATGGATCCGGGTATAAAGGGCGTTATTGGGTGGTATTAGAGCCTAGGTTTGTCAATCTTGTTACCTTAGGTAGTTCATAAGAGTTCAAGGTCTAAAAGCATCATCATGAATAAATGTTTATATTGTTTTACATCTAGTATGTTGAAGAGCTTAAATTGTTCCTCGTTTATGTTATATTATATGAATTACTCATTTTTATTCTATGTTATATGAATTATTTGGATTGTTCCTTTGTTTTCTTTCGATGGAAACTAGATTGCCTATTAGTGTATGTGTCCAAGATCTAACCATTTTGGATGGATTTGATTTATTATATTATTGCATTGATTATAATAAAAGAAGTCTTTCTATTAATTCTTGTCATTTGTATTTATTTATTGTATAGAATTAGATAAAAGTCCATACGATATGTATTTACATTAGTGATTGATCGAAAGATGTGAGATAAACACTAATACACATAAATGATATCATTAAATGTTTCAAGTTGTAACATAGTCAATAATAGACATTGACTACATGTGGTTAGACTCGTGAGTGTTATACTCATGCTATTTAATAGCAATAGGAGATCTCACACCTATTGGCATGATGATGCCAAAACAAACACTTATGTGATTTAGGTGATTTATGTTAGAGAACATATCACTCAACTTGCTTCATTATGAGAACCCATTTGGTTTAGTTTATGAAAATCTCATACGAGATGGGTATAATTGATCCTTAGACTTGAGGTCATCATGATTATCTAATTGAAGGATTTATGTACTTTGACACTCGTTTCGATGGATCCGAGTAAAGGGTTGTACGTCGGTGATTTGTTGGGTATACTAGGAATCTAATGGAGGTAGGCGAATGACTAAGATAGGATATATCATTCTTTTTATGAAAAAGAAGTTATCACATTACACTTCGATGAATGTCTACTCAAGAATCTATGGTCATAGTAGGAGTATACTAATATAGTATAGTTGGTTTACTCTAAGAGCTAAGACATTTGGGAATTGAAGAAAACTTGTGTGATCATAATTAAGAAGACTAATAACCAAGTTCGAGATTACACTCGTGATAAGTTAACATGAGGATTGAATTATATGATAACCATACTCATGAAAGGTAGTAATGCATTAATTAATCCTTTTATAGAATTACGTAGTTATGATGTCTTGCTAGAGACTTATGTATCAAGAAATAAAATACGTATCTTTTGTTCTTGATATATTTTAAACATATCCAAGAGCCTATTGAGTCACACATTTAAGTTTAAGCATTCGTATGATTAAAACGAAACAAAAATATTGAAACAAATTTTCAATTATGAAAGTTTTCTATTTTGGAAATGGTTTTCAAAAATAGAAAGTTTTCTAAAATGGAAAGTTACCTATTTTAGAAATTAGTTTCCTAATTTGAAAGTTAGTTCCAAATTTGAAAGTAAATAACCTAAAATGTAAATGATTTTTCTAATTTAGGTTGAAGGCTATTTTAAAAAATTATTTTATAATGTGGACCACTTAAAATTATCGAAATTTATTTATTTGAATAGTCTAAATTAATTAATTAGGCCAATAGGTTTAATTAAAAGCCCGAAGATATTTTGGTGGGAGGATAAATATAAACCTTATTAGATAAGGATAAATATTTTATAGATAAAGATCAAAAGTCCACATGTTAAATAACTCATAATCCTTGAAGGATTAGAGAGCAAT